ATTTACTCTTAATCAGCAAATAATTGTGCTGTATGTACCTCAAGTGTGGTCCCGTGAACTGAATGCTCAATGGCAGCTGGAAAGCATTAGAGTCCCTCAGAGTATGTCTTCTGGCTTGGTTTCTTGATTTCATGAGAAATCCTGATTGCATGGTCCAGGTCTGTTCTGCTGTGTGAGCCAAAGCAGGCCAGCAGGAGAAGATCCACAGGTTAATTCCAGCCACTTGACTGATCCAAGCTAAAACATTTAATGCAGGTGTGCCCTTACAGTACGCATTCTTAAGGAGAGGAGCAAAGCCTCAATCAAGGCAAGTTTATGGCTATACAGCTAAATAAGTTTAGCTGTAAGCTGGAGAGTTTTGGCTCTAGGCTCACAGTTGAGCATATCAGTATCTAAATGCACTTAGTACATGTCTTCTTTCTGAAATGCAAATTTGAAACTTTGGGCCTTAGCCATGTCTGCATTTAAAGAGAAGTTACTAAGCACCATTGCTTCATGCTGGCTTCAACAGGATGTGAAAATTATATTCCTATTGTTTAGATACCCCCAAAATGAGAATAGGAAGCAAAACTTGAATTCCGCACTCTGAAAATTCTTTAATTCAAGGTCTAGTGGGACAGAAACTTCTTGTGATATTAAAATTCATATTACATGTTCTTTGTTAAATTTTGTCACTATTCTACAATGGATTATAATACATGGGACTTCCTACCAGGGTTATGCTTTTGTCAAAATAATATTCAAAAAAGGTAGCTTTTTTCTTGCCAGTAGTAGCTCAGAGGCAATATAAAAACAGAAACTAAACTTCCTGTTATTTTCTACAGCTATCTCTCCAATCCCAGGGAGAAAAGCAAGTAACCATCCAACAAAACCAAAACAAAAAAACCCAAAACAAAACCAAAAAAAATAATTGAACAAACTAATTTTGAATTAGTGGTGTGTGTTGATACTAATATTGCAAAGTCATGATTTCAAAGTAAAGTCAGCCCTACAGAGAGCTGACACACAGAATGAAATAACAGAAAGAAATAATTTTGTATTATTTTCAGGCATATAAAGAAAATAAGCTTGGCAAAATGATCATATGCCAATGCAATTGAAAACTGGAGGAGATACTATAACCACTGTAACTATGATATATGGAATCTGATCATACTTTTAAAGATACTGATACATTCAAATTAATATTTCACATACATTCCAATAGTCAAAAAGTTGTGTATAATGCTATCTTATTGCAGAACAATGCAGAAAATGCAAGCAATCATTCATTCAGTATGAAATAATTTTACAAGAAGTAACACAGTTTTTTCAATATCCTATTGTTGCATTTTCAGATTTTACTAAGTGTGAGTAAATGGCTGATGAAATGGAGAAGGAATAAGCAGGAATGAAAAGCAGTTTTCATAAAAGCCTGTAGAAAGAATGGCTCTAGTGGGGTGTATGTACTGTCTATACAGCTCCATCCCTCTGCCAGCCTTGGGTTCTGCCACTGCTGCTGTGCAGTGAATGAAGTCTTGTGGATGCATAGTCATGAGCCCAGCTGTCCACAATGTGTGCCCCTTCGAGGAGCACAATGCTCACACATCCTTCTCTGCTCATCTCCCTTCCACACACGTGATGGCATTTGCTTCCACTTGTAAGGTACTGCCTGCATACTTGCCTTGTTTTAACACATGTATGCTCTTTCCTTATGATGTCAGGGCATCTGAGAGCTGGCATAAATAGATTTGTTGAGATGAGCCAGGTCTCCCTCATGTGTCAGACAGCAGTGCTATGGCACTAGCAATTTTGCGAAGATCTTCTTACAGAACTTACATTAATCCAAACAGCCTCCACCTATAACTAAAACTCCACCGGTGTGCAGAAATCTAAGCTCCTTCCCTGAGCATCCAGAGCTACAAACACTGTTTATATCATCCAGCATATGCACAGATTTTATGCAAACTTTATTTTGTGCAGTAGTTTGCCTTCCTCTCCATAATATTCCTTTTATTATCTTCTTTTTTGTATTTTCTACTCCACAGGAAGAGGAAGCATTGTTTACAACTGCATGCCAGTATTCATACATATATTCTGATAAGGTGATAATGCAGTTAACATAGCACAAAGTAAAACTGTCAGGCATCTGAAGAGATGACTATCTATAACCACAAAGGGAGAAAGGTAAAGTGATGCACAGAAGTGTAACAGGAAGAAAACACCATTAAGAGAAGCAAACCACATATGAAGAGAAATTCCTGTCAGTCATTACCATTAGGTGGTGAAATAGATACACAGAAAAAAATGCAAAGTTGCTCAAAAAAAATTAAATTAAATTTTATACATCACTTCATTAAAAAAACGTACCTAGAAATATAGTCAGCACAACAGCAAAGCTATGATGACAATATTGAAATACACAGTTTTTATTACCTAGTAGCACACAAGTGAAGAGCCTGATGGAAAGCAAAGCCAGAAGGACTATCAATCTGTTAACTCCACTCCATGTCCTGCACCTCAGCTGATCATATCCTGAAGAGCCACCTTTATTATTAACAACTATTACCTTCAGTCTCCTCCCCAGAGCCCCCTGACATGGCCACCATGGCACAGCACAAGCCAGCCTGTGCAGACTGTGCAAACAGCTGGGAGGGGGACACCTTGGCAGAGCTCCCAGCGGTTCTGGAAACACATAGTGCCTCTCTCCTGGGGACTTCTGTCTTCTGGGAAGGCAAAGTACATGCATATTGCTCACAGACACAAGAGATTAGTGTTGCAACCTCCAGATCTCCCAGGTACTTGACAAAACATCCTGGACACCTGATGAGCCAACCATCTCCCAACCAGCTGTCCCCATTACAGTCAACAATACCCAAGCCTACTCTCTATCTTTAACAAATGTATAGTTGCACTTTGTGCAGTTATATATCTGAGCATGTAAAGATATAGATACCAGCTGCTGAATTTTTGTTACATTAAGGAGAGTTGATCATTACAGAGGCTTGCAGCAGCACATAACTTGCATGTCAGAGCTGCCTTAATAACACTTATTAGTGCAGCACTGCATTAGTAACACTTGCAGACTAACTCAGATTTGTACAATTTGCATTACAGTGTATTTGCAGAGATCAATAAGAGATTTCAGGAGAACCATAGAGGTCACTAAAATAAGAAATTGTGTACCTCTCATGTGGCACACTTAGTTTCACAAGGCTGAAGGAGGAGGTCACCCTCCCATCTTTCATAAGACTAGAGGAAACATCCTCACAAGAGTATTTTGGTGTTGCCCCACTAACTTCCTTGTTTGCTGCGTAGTATACTCCTTCCATGAAAGCTGGGAAGTTAAACTTCCCACCAGGTACCACTATCGATGCCTACTGTCTCAGTCAACAAACCAGTTACACTTACTCTCTGCTATCCTTTAATGATTTATGTAATTGCATACATGCATGAGAACTTCCTTTAGTCTTCTCAGGCTCGTTTAAACCATTCAAGGCTGTAAAGTACTGCTTACACTTCACATTGAAGTTGAATTCAGGACAGTCCACTTTAATCTGTTCTTGGCTCTGAGTACTGATTAGGCCCCAAGCAAAGAGCAGAAATATGTTTCTTGGCTGTAAAATTAAGAAACCTGCACTTGCTAAGAGAAAAAAATATAAAAATGTCGAAAAAAGCACCCACTCTTGATACGTTCTGTGTAGCAGGGCAACTGCCTTAAAGGCAGTTTCTGTTATCACAGCTGCCAGAGTTGTTTATTCTCTTGCTTCTCCATATGACTTTTCTCAAAGTCCTAGACAGACACCAGTTGCTGAGTGCGGGTTAAGTAGAAAAACAGGCTGTGCAGAAACTTCTGTATCTTAAGTGCAAAAATTAATACTTAGAGAGGTCTGAGGCCCCACAGTGTTTACTTCAGCCTAAGCGCTGGTTATGCTGCCAGCCCACAGCCTCTCATGACACAGTGACAAAGGCCAAACACTGGTAGATACCGCCTGTACAAGGAAGCATATCCCAGGAATGCTGGAGCTGAATTTGAACTTCCCTTATCGGGAACAATGAAACTGAGAGCAAGCAGCTTCCTTGCTCAAGTGGAAATTACCACTTTTCAGCAAGTGCTACTGTCAATCACTGCAAGCCAGCCCAGAGGAAATGCAATTGTGATAACTGAGTGGTTTTAGTGCCTATAAAGGAAGTGAGTAGTTTAGCTTTCTTGCTCTGTGGAGAGGGGATTATTACCGTGCCATTTTAATGTCAAGTCCTGGAGCATATGCATAGTTTGTGCACGAAAATGGGGTGATGTTTTCCCTTTTAACATAGGGCCAAATCAACCCACCCATATTAACTTTTCATGACAGAATGTCTAAAAAGTGCCACACCATCCTTAAATTGTTTTGGACTTAATTTGGTGTTGTCATGCAATTAGGTTTCACAAAATTGGCTTCTGGACTGACAGCTTCTATTGTTAGAGCATATGGCAATCAGAGAGCAGCTTGTGGCAGATGTGATGTTTATTCACCATTTGCTAGTTTTAGATTTAATGATGTCATTCTAATCAAAGCAAATGTTAGATGTGTTTGACATCTAAGGAGCTCTGCAGCCCCCCCATCATGTTTAAGCCACTTCTGTCAAGTGGAAACACATCAGCTCTGAATGCATCTAAGTCATATTTAAGAATCAATGATGCAATTTACTGGGGGTCTGTATTCCAAAAATCCATGTTTCTAACATGCATTGTGCTCCTCCAGCAGACTACAAAGACCTGCTATTACAATAAGTAAGCTCATTAGGCATGCGACTCCTTCGTCTTGCAAGCTGTTGCGATAAGCAGCTGTTACAGGAGGGTAAAAGGTTGAATTATCAACTTGGACAGCACAGCACTTCATTCAGCCAGCCCAGCAAAGTATTTGAGCAATAACTCCATTACTGTGAAGCAGATCTTTGACTACAGCACACAAGCAAAACATCAGCAGTATTTCAGTGACATGCTTCCCCACACCCAGCAAGCAAGACACTCCCAGAAATTAATTGTCAAAAATTTATTATGAAAGCTTCAATAGCAGCAAATATTTCAATAAAAGTTATTGCAGTATTAAAACAGATCTGCAGAGTGACCCATGAGGCCTGTTGAAGTCTGACTGCTTTGGAATATCTGCATTTGTCTTAGAAAGCAATCCCCAATACTCCATAAATATTGATACTTTTCTGGTGTGTTTTGCAGACAGCACCAACAGTTCCTAGTTACAGTACTCTATCCAGTCCTTCTGGAAAGTTTTGGCCCACTTCCCTCAACTTTCCCTCTCCCTTCTGAAACAGCTCCACATAGCCAAACTTGCAATACTTCTTTCAGTTCCATGGTATGTCAGCCTCTCCACGGTTGCAGCCTACTGAGGCTCACTGGTGAGATGAGCTGTTTTCCTCTTTCTTCTCTGTAAGAGCCCACTGCATGCCAGTCTGAGGCACTTTAATCCAGTCTCTTGACCAGGCTAATCCATGGAATCAGCAGCTTGTTGCACATTTTGGTGAACGCACAGCACGTTGAGAATGCAACAAAGGTTTGAGCCTCCCCGGTGCACCAGGTGACCATCACTCAGGCAGGGTGATAGTTGGCACCCAGTCATTGACATTTCTGCTCTCTTCGCAAAACAAGTTCAGCTTCTCCAGAGCTGGATCCTTCCAACCTTCTTCATTCGGGTTCTGCAGAAAAGAAAAAAGTTGCACACCGTGAGTGCTGCCCGTCAGCTGAGGTCATCGTATTATTTACAGAAGCATTAGCTTAGGGCTGGAAGCACTTCCAGACAGTTTCTGTCCTGAGACAGACAAGACAGGAAGCAGAGATGCTGCCCTTGCGGACAGCGGAGGAAATCCAGTTACGAGAAGTTCTGCCTCCTCCTCCTACTACTACTGCTCAGCTGACTCGCTGCGTGCCAAGCGCTGTCTGTGCCCGGCAGAGGACTCGACCACCCGCAGCGGGAGCAGGGCCGCGCCGGGCAGAGGGCAGAGCCGGCCGCGGGACACCCACCGTGATGAGGATGCAGTGCAGATCGCGCGGCTCCCCGGAGTCCTCGCTGGGCCCCACGATGGCCGCCAGCTTAGCCACGTCGTTCACCCGCACGATGTCGATGTCGTTCTCGCAGCAGAAGGCTTGGATCAGAGTGAAGTGGATCTGCAGCGCGATGTCCCCCTCGTCCTCCTGGTCCGCAGCCAACACACAGAACGCGACGTTGTCGGGGTCGCTGCAAGAGGGGAGCAGCCTGGTGAGTGCCGCGGTCGGCACCGGCCGCCCCGCAGCCCCGCCGGGCTGCCTTGCACACTGCCCTGCCCCCGCCGCCGTACTTACACATTCATCAGCTTGGCCGACTCGTAGACGCCGGCGGTGAGGCAGCCGCGGCGCTGCGCCGACACCAGCAGCTCGTGGAGGGCCGTGCCGGCGCCCTGCATCCTGAGGGCCGAGAGAGACACCGGGTCAGCGCGGCGCCGCCGCCACAGCCACCGCCGCCCCGAAACCGCCCGCCACCCGCTCGCCTCGGCTCCCCAGCGCCCACCCGCACGTACCAGTCGTGCCCCGCAGGCATGGGCTGCTGGCCGTGGATCTCCTCCAGAGTCATAGCAGATAGTCCGCACAGCCCCGCGCCTCCCTCAGCTGCGGTTCCGCGCACCCCGCGAGTGCTCTGAGGCGGCAGCCGGCCGGCGTGCGCTACTTATAGGCCTCGCGGGCACCTCCCGGCCTCCCATTGGCCGGCGGGGGAGAAAGGGGCGGCTTTATTATGCTAATCGGCGCGCGCCGGAGAGGAAGATTGGGGCGGGGTGGGGCGGAAAGAGTGGCTCGTGCCGGGAGGCCACGTGGGGCGCGCGAGGGGCGCGCGGGCACGCGCCGGCCCCAGACGGCGGAGCCGGCCCCAGATGGCCCGAACCGGACCGAACCGGACCGAACAGGCCGTGCCGGACCGAACTGGACCGAACCGGCCCGAACCGGCCGTGCCGGACCGAACAGGCCGTGCCGGACCGAACCAGCGGTGCCGGCCCAGCCAGCGATGCACCTGCAGGCGTGGCCGCTCCCTGCGCGCCGCTCGCCGGTAGGCACTGGCAAGTAGTAGGGCGATTTGTGTCCAAAGCTTGGAACGGAAAATCTCTAGAGTGCATGGGAAATTAAAACGGGAAAAAAAAATCGTAAAAATAAACAAAATATTTTATTAATATGGTTTGTGCAAATGTGCACGCCGCGAAGGGCCAGCCGCCGTAGCCAAGGCTAAGGGCAGCTCTCTAGAGGTCCTGGGCAGCCGCCGGTGGTGCTCAGCAGTGGCTCCGGCTGCAGGGGATCCCCCCTGTGCCCTGGTCGGTAGGAACAGGAGCACGGCCAGCCGGCCGAGGCAGGTGATAATCCCCCTCTGCTCAGCACTCCGGGACAGCAGCAATGTGGTCTGCCCGGTTTGGGCACCCCCGGCCGCGGACACACGCCGATAAACCGGAGCAAGTGCAGGTCAGGGCACCGAGTGTCCAAAGTTGTCCTGCTCCGCAGGCTGAGGGACCAGGGCCAGCCCAGCCTGCGGAAGGCAAAGGTTGGGCGGCAAGCTGCAGTCCCCAAAACCTGTCGAGTGATCATTTGGAGGATAACACCAGGGTCTTCACAGCAATGTCTAGTGGAGCAGGAGACAATGAGCCGAGCGTAAATCAAGACGCTCAGACGGGATGTAAGAAAAATCCTTTCACCCTGAGAACAGTCAAGCAGCGGAGCAGGCTCCGTGTCCAGGGAGGCTGTGTAGATTTTATCCTTGCAGGATTGTCCCTGTTCTGAGGTCACCTTCTGCAGGCTGTGCTGGCCTATGATCCTGGGAGAGGGGGCTGGTGTGAGCAAGCAGATTTTTTTTTTTTTTCAGTCAGGCTTTATTAAAAATGGCTTTAATTTAGACAGTATTCATAATTAATTCATTGTGAAATTAATTCAGTGTTCATAATTAATTCAGTGTGATTGCTGAACTCAGATTTGAACCTGTTTGTCAGCAAACCAAGCAAGAAAAAACCATATTTTCCCGCTGTGAATGAGCACAGACAATGTTAAAAGGCAAATCACTTTTTGCGTCCCTTCAGCGTCTGACACACTTAAGCCCGCAGTTAGCACTTGTCTGCGCAGTCACCGCTTCAGAGCAGCCCCGTGCGGTTCCACAGAGGCTGTGGAGAGCCACCTTGGGGTAACCTGTGCTGCTGCGACCTGTCCAGCTCCAGTGGGCTGCACAAGCAGAGCTCTCCAGCTTGTCATCCTTGCTGCTCACTAGCCTGCAGCCACACCATCCCCATCCCAATGTGTTGAAACACGGGGATGTCCTTTCCAGTGCTTCACTGGGAGTCCTGGATGAAGCACGTCTTATCTGAGACTGTATATGCTATACTCTGCTCAGTTTCAGTCTCTTCAAGCACCACAGTTTCCGAAATGCCTCTCAAACAGAGCCACTTTAATGAGCTGCCGTGTTTCTACTTCCAGTTGTTTCTAGTGACCCTGGTGACACAAGAGGTGACAGCATTCGACCTGGCAGTAATCACTTAGTGAGTTGCCATTTTAAGCTAGTGACAACATAGGCTTGATGTCTGCCAGATACATCCAGCCTCTCGAAGAACATTTCTCTGATGTTACAGAGCTGTCAGTACTGGGGAGAAAACTCTTCATTGTAAACACCAGTTCTCAAGCCTCGCAATCTTTTTTACCCTACTAACGTGCAAAGACTTGGAAACCAAACCAGTGACCTGTCAGTCTGAATTTGAGTGAGAAGGGCATAAATTCTTACTTTGCTCTCTCTAAAAAAGGTATGAGAAGTTCCCAGAAAATTATCTCCTGGCCCGTATTCAGGCAAGTGCAATTGTCTCCACTTGCTGTAATTAGTATAGTCTACATAGCATTTACCGTTCATTCTCAAAAGATAAAAACTCTTCATACATCTGCTTCTTTCTTTTACCTGTTTTTGGGGTTTTTTTTTCCTAAGTATATAAATGGGTATGAATGCAGAAGAATAGCTTGAATGGTAAGACACATTAAGTGGTATGTCCCTTAGAAATATTCAAGGGCCTATTTCTGATGAAATAGGTGGAAAACCCAGAACTGACTCACAGCTTTGAAAGATGCTGATATCAGCTATGACTTTGATGACTTTCTCATTGCACTAGAAATGAAAGTTACTTCAGATGGATCCAAATTAGTAAGCCAAAGTAACTCAGAGTGGAGAACAGAGTATATGTATATGTATATGTAATAGTACAATATATATAATTGTCTAGATAATAAAGTGATATACTGAACCTTATTAACATATTAATCCTTTGACATGCAAGCTTGTAGTTTCAGCTTAATGATGCAGCACCCCGGAATTAAGGCTTCTTGACATCACACTTTTCAGTGTGCCCCATTATTCCCAGGTCTCCTAGAGCAGATGGTGCTGAAGGCCATGGAGCATTCATTGCTAGATACTTGATCCAGCTCGTTTCAAACCACAGTATGAACCCCAGGCCTCTGACGCAGGAGAGGAGCTGCAGAAAGCAGCTTTGCAAGCCCAAGGCCCCGTCCCTGGTTCGAAGGCATCAGCTCCGCAGACGTGTTACCTTTGATGCCGAATAAGCAAACTGAATTTGGGGCTGCGCTGACCTCTCGCGGCCGCCCGGAACGCTTACAGCGGAGACGCGGCAAGAGAAAAACAAACAAACAAATAAACAAACACAAAAGTACCAAACCAAACCAAAGGAAAAAAAAAAAAAAAGCCACACACAAAAAGCCACCGCAAACAACAAACAAATAAAAAGGTAGACCTTGACACATCCTACATAAAAGAAATCCCCTAAAGTGTGTTACCTGATCCATAGACCTGCTCAAGGGAAGGAAGGCTCGCTCTACAGAGATCTGGACAGACTCAGTCAGTGGGCCAAGGACAATAAGGCGAACTGCTGGGTTCTGCACTTTAGTCTCAGTAAACCCATGCAGCACTACAGGCTGGGGCAGAGTTGGCTTAAGGGCTGCTCGGCAAAAAGGGACATTACCTCTTAGCCTAAGTGAGAGGAGACTCAAACCTCCCACATCAGAAAAGGCTGGCAAGCCATGGTAATAGGCACCCCAGCCATGGGGTTCCTACACTGCACTCACCTGCCTGGTGCTCCCCTGGCTTGTGCTGCACATCCAGACTTTCCATCAGAAAGGCTCTCTTTACCAAGATAGACTAGTCCTTTCAGCTCAGACGGAGTATTCCCTCCTCAATGTCTTTCCAAATCCATCTCCCTCTCCATTTCCATTTCCATCTCCCTTACCCACTCCAGTCCTCCATCCAGTTCTCCTCCCTTGCAGACCTATTGTAATCACCCAGCAAGCTTCCTTCTCCAGGTGTGGATCTCACCAAATAAAAACCAAATCAAAAACCTTTCTACTGAACACAAGTTTTAGGAGGCTGTGCAAATGCTGTGGTTAAATTCAAGATGATTTAATCAAGCTGATTTCTTCTATTTCCAGCAGATCAATAGGTCGGTCACCTACCTCATCCTCATATAATTTCTTTCCACTGAACCTGAAACAGAAGCTGCTGATCCCCACGCCTCATAAACCAGGTAGCATCCTCTGTACATAACTTTATTCTGTGACACATTTGCCATAGAAGTGACACCAGTTAAGCCCAAACATCCATAATCTGTACACAACAGAAATATTTAACTTACTGAGAAAGCAGAAAAGTTTTCATGGTTTATTCTTAACAGAAAACAACAAAAACCTCCACCCAGACAAAACAAAGAAAAACAAAATAAAACCAAACCAAAACAAACAAACAAAAAACAAAAAAACCCCCCCCAAAAAAACCCAAAAAAAAACCAAAAAAAACCCCTGCTATCACAAGTCTTTTTTAATTAGAAAAGCTGTTGTAAAAGAAGCAGCCGTCTTCTCAATTAAGTTCCATTGTTTACTAAAAAAAATTTTGAGTACTCTCACAAATGTAAGTGAAATATTGTAGAATGGAGAGCACTTAATTGTTCACATAGGCTTGATTATTACAGAATGTTGTGCAGATGAGCACAGAGCCCTCATTTTTGTCATCTTTTCAGACTTTGCACTAAAAGGGCAAAAGCACTTGCACTAATTTTGAATGAGTTTTTGCACCTCAAAACACAGTGGTATCTTCCCCAGCAGGTTTGCTTTCATTGTAATACTTAAATGGAAATATTTAGTAACTTCAACCCTTTTTCCTCTATATAAAAATCTCTTTACTGTTTAGATTCCTATACAGCATTCATGTAGCCATGTGATCCCTCAATAGTCACATATAGATCAACATAGAATCATTTAGGTTGGAGAAGACCTTTAACATCATCAAGTTGAACCATTTGCCCAGCACTGTCATGTTCATCACTAAACCATGTCTCTAAGTGCCACATCCACACATCTTTTAAATACTTCCAGGAATGGTGATTCAACCACTTCCTTGGGCACCCTATTCCAGTGCTTGACAACCCTTCTGGTGAACAAATTTCTCCTAATAACCAATCTAAACCTCCTCTGGCACAACTTGAGTCTATTTCTTCTTGTCCTATCACTTGTTACCTGGGAGAAGAGACAGACCCACACCTGGCTACAGCCTCCTTTTAGGCAGTTGTGCAGTGGTAAGATTTCCCCTGGGCATCCTTTTTTCCAGGCTGAACACCCCCGGCTCCTTCATCTGCTCCTCACAGGACTTGTTCTTCAGACCTTTCACCAGCTCCGCTGCCCTTTCCTGGATACACT